TCATGGTATGGTATATAGTGGAATGAAGCACCAGGATCAAGGACCCAATTATCAATTGGACTTTTTATAGCAAGAATCAAAACATCTTGTACCTTATCTATAGTAGCGTTTGCTGAGTCAGCTTCAAGTTTTTTCAGTTTTGTGCAACTCCTCATGAAATGACTAGGTTTGCCATAATTCCAACATTCAACTTGCTTTTTGGGTCCAAACTTGCTTTTACTTTTGTACCTTGATTTTGATCTGTCTCTAGATAAGCCTTTATCTTGTCTCCTCCCTCGAGTGTTAATGTTGAAAGCTGAACTTGAACTTAAATTTTCACCTGAGTCTTTCCTTCTCACTTCTTTAGCTAGAATCAAGTTTCGGATGTCATCATATTTTAGTTTGGATTTTCCTGCTAAGTTGCTTACAGCCATTCTCATGCCTTCTTAACCACTTGAAAGTGAAGCTAGCAAAATAAATGTATGAATCTCATCATCAAACTCATTCTCATCAGATGATAATTCATTTATGATGGTATTGAAGTTGTTGAGATGTTGTGTGACAAAGGTGCTTTTTGTCATCTTCAGTTTGAACAACTTCTTCATTAAATGCACTTTGTTATTTGTTGAGGGCTTCTCATACATCCTAGACAAGGCTTTCATCAATCTTGTAGTGGAGTTTTCTTTTGTAGCATTATAAGCAACTTTTCTTAACAAAGATAGCCGAATAATACCCAAAACCTATCTATCAAGAATTTGTCAATCTTCTTCTGACATGTTTTTTGGATTTTTATCTGATGTGTCTGTTGCTAATATGAACAGTGACATGTCAAGTGATGTGGCTGATGACTATGCAGAATTGCTACTATGGTTGCTGACTGGTCGCTAATGTTTCGAGTTAACCTGGTCCAGTTGCAAGAATTCAAGCGAAGAAGACACATGGAGAGCGTGTGGTGCTTTGGTACATGTGGGCAGTGTTGTCATCGACACGTGTGGGCATGCAGGACATTGATTTTTTACCGGGTTTTCACTAGTGGATTCGTCTCGTGTTCCTCTACACAATGGCATGTTCAAAAACACATTTGAGAACTTTTATTTTTAAGTTTGGATCAAACACCCTCTTTTTCAAGAACAAGCTCTAATACTAGTTGTTGGGTCATTCAAGCATTCAAACATATAAATTTACATAGTTCGGCAATTTGCCTACTCCTTGGAGCTATTGATTTGTATTAATCACTTAAATAAACAATACAAATAAAGAGGAGGAGAAAACTTTCCACAACTCAACTCTACACTCAAGCTCTTTCTTCTTCTCTTTTGTTCTCTCTGTTTTTCACACACACACACACACAGCTTTTCACTGAGCATGTGTATATATATACAAATGGGAGGAAAGGGGTATAAATATTGTCATGATTTATACCACCATTTGTGTCCTCCACCATGTGTAAAGTGGGAAGTTAGGTATTCCCACTTGCATATGGTGGGATATTGTTTTGTCTCCACTAACACTCATTTGATTAAGGCGACAATGTGTAAGACAATAGTTCGTATTTCATCCATTTTTATGACTGAATTTTTACTGAATAAGTTATCTATATACGCATAAGGATACTCATATTCCTTCTCCTCTATGGTTTGGTTTTTGGATGCCAACTACCATTCGGGATTTCTTGCTTTATTTTTCATTATTTTCCTTTTTAATTGGATTTTCATACCACATAAGGTGTGCTAATAATTTCCATGGCATTAATTAAGGGAAGAGTAATGCCAATCAAAAGCAAAAAGATTTTGTTTAAATCTAAGGTCTAGAATTTAGATGTCTAGGGTTTGTTGCCTTGACACTACCAGAATCTTTTAATTTTAATTTCCCAATAGAAAATTCCATTGATATTTATACATTGATTTTGTTGGCATGACTTTTACCATAAGGCTTATAAACAAAAATACTTTGTCAAAAAACCCATCGTTTGTGATTTATGGTTTGTCGGTAAGTTCGTTGGTAATAAAATTACTAATAGATTTCTAGATAAAAAAACACTCCAAACAAAAAAAATATCTATTTTAATTTATCAATATTTTCATTGGTGAATATGAGATATCATTAACAAAAACACCATATGTAATTCCTTAGCTTTAAGCTATCATTATTCAATTAGCGGTCAAACACAAATATTTATATTCTAAACTAGACTATTAGAATAAGGTATAACCCTAAATAAATACATGAACTTTGACCTTATGGATATGCAAAGGTAGGGGAAGAAGGTTTTCCTTCCTCTCTTTATAGTGTCATCTTAAGTCAAAGCCTCGGACGACAACAACTGCCTCAACTCATCAATTAGTAATCGAAAAAAAATATTTATATTCTAAACTAGACTATTAGAATAGGGTATAACCCTAGATAAATACATGAACTTTGACCTTATAAACATGCAAAGGTAGGGGAATAAGGTTTTTCTTCCTCTCTTTGCAGTGTCTGTTCCTCTCTCTCTCCTTCCTATTTACCCAAAAAAAAACCCCACACAACCTCCACTCTATCATGGCCTACTACAATGATAAAAGGGGTAGAGAAGATAAGCCTTGTGGGCAGCTCTAGGACAATTGGACAGATGCCGCCCTAACAACCTTATCCGTTCATCAAGACTAGACTAGGGTAGAGTAGCTCTCTCCCATTGCCTCTTATAAACACCCTCTCACCAGAAGGTAGAGGGACGAGAAGACAAGGATGAAAAAAATAATGAAATAAATAAAAAGGAGAGACAAAAAAAATAAAAAAATAAAAGAAAAAAATAATTGAGAAAATGAAAGAAAAATAGAAAGAAAGAAGAAGAAAAAGAAACAAAGAGGAGGAAGAATGGTAACAAAAACATAGAAAAAGCAGAGAAAGAAAGAGATGGGATAAGGAAAGGAAAGGGAAGAAACAGAAGAGAAAAACAAAAAAGAAGAGAAAAAAAAGGAAGAAACACCACCGTTTTTCTCCCCATCACCGCCTAGAACCACTGTCATTCTGCACTAGCACCATCGTGAAGCCACTACTTGGTCAACCTCACCCACTCTTTTTCTTCGCCTCTTCTTTTTCTCTTGCATCTCTTCCTTCTTTATTGTTTTAAGAGAACGTGGAGAGTGAATTAATTCACTCTCCACTCTTTACTAGGTCAGACCAGTGCTGACCCAAATTAAAATGATAGGGCTAGGTTTGGCCCAATCCAATAAAAAAAAAAAAGACTTGTTGAGCCAACATTAGCCTAACATTCTTTTAGGCTGGCATCGCTAACCCCCTATCTTAGGCCAATATTGGCCCAACTCTTTTGGGTCGATCTAAGCCTAGCTAGGATGAGCTTAGCCCATGTAATTGGGTTAGACTCATCCCCTTATAGTACAATAATATTATATTATATAGTATAATATTATATATTAATTAAAAATAAAAATTTCAAAAATCCTTTAAAAAAATTTATGATTTTCTTGTAGAGTTTTTTATTTTTTTAGTTTAATATTGATTTGTCTTTTTACACTAAATGATAAAAATTCAATATTAAAATATTCAATTTTCTCCAAAATATTGTAAAAACAATATATAGAAAAACAACAAAAAAAGTCTTGTTTTCATGTAAATGGACAAGTCTCTCAAAGATATAAAAATAATATCGTATTTTCATATAAAAACATTTTTAAAAAAATTTCTTGTTAGCATGCATTTTGAACTTTAATAACCAGTTTATTAAAATTATGAGAATTATGCCCATATTTTAAAAATATTAAAATAAGATATTTTATTTTCTTTTAGTATCTGGAATTATAAAATTATATGTAAGATGTATTCTCGATCTTAAATAAATATAGTTCTTTTTTATATTCATATTAGAACAGTTAGGTTTTTTACTTCATAAGATAAAGATCTCCTTACTAAAAAGAATTTTCACTTAAATTTTAGACAGAACAATAATTAGAAAAATATGTCAATACCTTAATTTATATCAAACAATTAAATTAATACATCTTCGGTAAGGTATATTATGAGTGTTAATACCTTTCATTCATATTACCAGTCCTTGTATTTGATTTCTGAAACTTTATATAGTTTCTAATGACTAAAATATAAAATGATGATTCTCATTCTTTTTTTCTACTTATAAGATACAATAATTTTTTATTTTATTCATTTTCCTTATAAGATATAAAAATTTCTTATTTTATCCATTTCCCTCGCACCATATATAATTAGATATTCTGGAAGGATATTTACTGCGAAGCCACACCACATACAACAGGTTCTATGTTTGAGATTGAAAAAAGCATTATTAGAAGATAAGAGGCCACTGTAGCCCGTCAACATTGTAGCCTGACATCTTTCTTTCTTTCTTTTTTTTTTTTTTTTGGATGAAAACATTTTAGTCTTACTAGCTTCTAGTTTTCAAAACACCAGCTCGTGACTCTAACCCTAATTACAAAGTTTTATCAATGTCAAATATATAGAAAACAAAACTTACTCAGTAATGCATCACAAAAACCAAATGAAATATCTTTCTTTTATGACCACGAAACGCTGAGGAGCACAGCAATACAAGTAAAGATTTTTTTTTTTCCTTTTTCGTATGTACTCAAATTAAAATTTGGAAAGTAAAATTATTTATTGTCAGATAAACATTTACAGGCCGCATGATTTGAACCAAATCCATTTCCTTCCAAACCACATTCTTTTCTGGCATCATTATTTTTCTTCTAATAAACCAAACCTAATAACAATGTGGTTTTGAAATTCTGCGTGCCATTGCAAAATAAGGCAATAAATCCAACGACCAGGCGGTATAAGGAAACCACTACTGAGTATGGAATTGTTTTGATAATTTTTAGGCGCTGGGCAGTCCATGCCACCAAAGATAAAAAACCACACCACACACAGAAAGGGAGAGGAAGGGCAGATCTTATCATGTAAAGACACGTCCATGCCCTGTATAATGCACCATATTCATTCACCAAAATCACAACTCTAATTAGATGTGCCGTCTTTTACAAATAATGGAAAATGTCTGTAAAGAAGAAGATGAAGGTGATAATGAGAATAAGCTGAAAGCGATTCTCTTTTATCAGTTTGGGGATATACCAAAACAAGTTTCCAAGGTTAGTGCTTCTTTCCTATTTCTCTCTTTTTTTTCCTTCTTCGCTAGGGTTAGGGTTAACAACGTTTTATATACTTGGAGTTTGCTAGCTAGGTTAAAAATGAACTAAATTGTGACGAGCAATCTTTAAACTATGCGCCACCTTATTTATAGCAACAGCTGATCCTTATTTTGTTTTTTTTTTTTTGGGCACAGAAAACATAGGGTTAGGGCTCTTGACGATGGAATACCATGCCATGCACATATATACTTGTCCATTTTACCAAGGATTTGTTGGGTGTGGACACAACATGGTTGGTGGCAGCCATGTTAGACATGGCTAAAGTCAATGGTGGATACAAATAGTAGGTGGCAGCCATGTTGCAAGGTTGCATGGTGGGTGCCTAACCAAAGAAATTGTTGCCCACCATTGTTGACTAAAGAAGAAACTTGTCTCCCACATCAGCTATAAATAGAGAGTGCCATTGATAGCTGATGAGCACCACGAGATAGAGAGAAACACAGAGAGAGAGCTAAGGGTGAGAGTTGAGTTGAGTTGAGAAGTTTTTCTCCTCCTCCTTGTTTTGTTGTTTGTATTGCTTTTGAGCTTGATTAATACAAACCAGTAGCTCCGTGGAGTAGGCAAGTTGTCGAACCACGTAAATTTATGTGTGTTTGAATGTTTGGATATCCTAACAACTGGTATCAGAGCTTGTTCTTGAAAGTTCTTGAAAAAAAGGGTGTTTGATCCAAACTCAAAAATCAAAGTTCTCAAAACGTGTTTTTGAACATACCACCGTGAAGAGGACGACGAGAGGAATCCACTGGTGAAAACCCGGCAAACATCCGACGTCCTGCATGCCCGCACGCGCCTACACGCGCCACCACCAAGACTGCCCCCGTGCACAGACGCGCCGTACGCGCGTCACGCGTCTTCCTCGCCAATTCCTGCAAATCGACACTGCCATGTCAGCAGACACGTCAGCCGTCCAGCACAGTTAGCAGCCGCGCGCCCCTGACACGTCAGCCGTCTGACCGGTCAAGCAGCCACGTCATCCCTGCCATGTCATCACCACGTCAGCACTGCCACGTCATCCAAAAATCTCCGCGGGTCTGCCACGTCAGATTCGGTGGACCCCACATTGCCTACGTGTGTGACACGTCATCCTGATACGTCAGTATACCTGGGTTTTGATCCGGTGTGGCGCAGAGACTATTCCTCCTGCCACGTGGCTTCATCTGCAGCGTCCAGTTATCCCAAACTTTGATTGTTTAAATCGGAGCCATCCGAAGTCCGATTTAGGTGATCTCAGTGTCGTTTCCAGCATTTTTGGCCATTCCGGACACATCTGTAAGGTCAGATTTTTGAGATTCAAATCCGAGAAAGAGTAAAAATGGCTGATGAAATAAAGGCTGCAGGAATTGAAAAATTTGATGGAACTGATTTTGGATATTGGAAAATGCAAATTGAAGATTATCTATATGGGAAGAAACTTCATCTTCCTCTGTTGGGGAGCAAGCCAGAAAACATGTCAGAAGAAGATTGGCAAATTCTTGATAGACAAGTCTTGGGCATTATCCGGCTATCATTGTCAAGAAGAGTTGCTCATAATGTTACAAAAGAGAAATCCACAGCAAGATTGATGGAAGCCTTGTCTAGGATGTATGAGAAGCCATCAGCAAATAACAAAGTACACTTGATGAAGAAGCTGTTCAACCTGAAGATGACAGAAAGCACCTCTGTTACACAGCATCTTAATAATTTCAACACCATCACAAATCAATTGTCATCCGTTGAAATTGAGTTTGATGATGAGATCCGAGCACTTATTTTGCTAGCTTCACTTCCAAGCAGTTGGGAAGGTATGAGAACAGCCGTAAGCAACTCAACCGGAAAATCCAAATTAAAGTATGATGATATCCGAGACCTGATTTTAGCTGAAGAAGTACGAAGAAAAGACTCGGGTGAAAGCTCAAGTTCAGGTTCAGCTTTCAACATCAACACTCGAGGAAGGAGACAAGACAGAGGCTTATCCAGAGGCAGATCAAAATCCAGGTACAAAAGCAAAAGCAAGTTTGGACCCAGGAAGCAGGTTGAATGTTGGAATTGTGGCAAACCTGGCCATTTTATGAGGAGTTGCACAAAACCAAAGAAACCTGAAGCTGATTCTGTAAATGCCACTACAGACGAGGTACAAGATGCTTTGATTCTTGCTGTACATAGTCCTATTGATGATTGGGTTCTTGACTCTGGAGCTTCATTTCACTGTACTCCACACCATGAAATGATGCAAAATTACACTGCTGGAAATTATGGGGTAGTCTATCTGGCCGATGGACAACCATTGGAGATTGTGGGTATAGGAGATGTGCAAATCAAGACAATGAATGGATCTACATGGAACTTGCAAAATGTAAGGCATGTTCCTGAACTAAAGAAGAAGTTGATCTCGGTCGGACAACTTGATGATAGTGGCCATTCAATCCTTTTCTCTGGAGGAATGTGGAAGGTATCAAAGGGAGCAATGGTTTTGGCTCGTGGAAAGAAAACTGGCACTCTGTATATGACCACAAGATCAGCAGATATAATTGCCTCTACTGAAGCAGAAAATCAGGCACAGCTATGGCATTGCAGACTCGGCCATATGAGTCAAAAGGGGATGAAGATACTTCAGTCAAAGGGAAAGCTGCCAGAATTAAAAAATGTTGATCTAGACATTTGTGAAAGCTGTGTTCTCGGAAAACAGAAGAAGCTCAGTTTCTTAAAGGTTGGCAGGACCTTAAGACCAAGAAAACTAGAACTGGTGCACACAGATTTATGGGGACCAGCTCCAGTAGCATCTCTTGGCGGTTCTCGGTACTATGTCACTTTTATTGATGACTTTAGCAGAAAGGTATGGGTCTACTTTCTGAAAAATAAATCTGATGTGTTTGACACGTTCAAGAAATGGAAGGCTATGGTTGAGACTGAATCAGGTTTGAAGCTGAAATGCTTACGATCTGATAATGGAGGAGAATACATTGATGGAGGTTTCAAGGAGTATTGCGCTGTCAACGGTATCAGAATGGAAAAGACAGTTCCAGGCACACCACAACAGAATGGTATTGCTGAACGGATGAACCGGACCATCAATGAACGAGCTAGAAGCATGAGGTTGCATTCTGGGCTACCTCAAACATTCTGGGCTGATGCAGTTCATACTGCAGTTTACTTGATCAACCGTGGACCATCAGTACCTTTGGAGTTCAGACTGCCCGAGGAAGTCTGGAGAGGAAAAGAAGTACAGCTTGCTCACCTAAAAGTCTTTGGGTGTGTTTCCTATGTACATGTAGACTCTGATGCTCGCAACAAGCTGGATGCCAAATCAAAGAAATGTTTCTTTATTGGCTATGGAGATGAAGAATTTGGATTTCGGTTCTGGGATGATCAGAACAGGAAGATTATCAGAAGCAGGAACGTGATCTTCAACGAGAAAGTTTTGTACAAAGACAAATCAAGTACAGAACTAGAGATAACTGATTCAGATACGAGTTCACAGAAATCTGAATTCATACAATTAGAAGGGCTTCCTGATGTTACCACTCAAGAGTCCACACAAGATAGTTCAAGCACTTCAGTACCCACCACTTCTACACAAGATAGTGCAGAGCCAAGTGAACCAGCTGTTCGCAGGTCTTCAAGGACTATAAAGCCTCCACAACGGTTCACACTTCTACTGAATTATATCTTGCTGATCGATGGTGGTGAACCATTAAATTATGAAGAATCCTTACAAGATGGAAACTCGAGCAAGTGGGAGTTAGCCATGAAGGATGAGATGGAGTCATTGTTGAAGAACAAGACTTGGGAGTTAACCAAACTGCCTGAAGGAAAGAAGGCCCTGCAAAATAAGTGGGTTTACAGAGTAAAGACCGAGCATGACGGAAGTAAACGGTTCAAAGCAAGACTTGTTGTAAAAGGGTTTCAGCAAAAGAAGGGGATCGACTATTCTGAGATATTTTCTCCAGTTGTGAAGCTTACAACAATCAGAGTTGTTCTGGGGATAGTAGCTGCAGAAAATTTACATCTTGAACAATTAGATGTAAAAACAGCATTTCTTCATGGAGAATTGGAGGAAGACATTTACATGCAACAACCAGAGGGGTTTGCAATACCAGGAAAGGAGAGTCAAGTTTGCAAACTAAAGAAGAGTCTATATGGTTTGAAGCAAGCTCCAAGACAGTGGTACAAGAAGTTTGATAACTTCATGAGTAGTACGGGATACACAAAATGTCAGGCTGATCATTGTTGCTATGTCAAACATTTTGACAACTCCTATATCATTCTACTGCTATATGTGGATGATATGTTAATTGCAGGTTCCAGCATGGAAGAGATTGACAAGCTAAAGCAACAGTTGTCAAAATAGTTTGAAATGAAGGATCTGGGAGCTGCTAAACAAATACTTGGTATGAGAATCATCAGAGACAAAGACAAAGGCATACTAAAGCTTTCACAGGCAGAGTATGTCAAGAAGGTTCTCAGCAGGTTTAGTATGGATAATGCTAAGCCAGTATGTACACCTCTGGGGAATCATTTCAAGCTCAGTAAAGACCAGTCACCAAAAACTGAGCCAGAACGTGGATACATGGACCAGATCCCATACGCCTCAGCTATCGGCTCCTTGATGTATGCCATGGTCTGTACTAGACCAGATATTGCCCATGCAGTGGGAGTTGTAAGCCGATATATGAGCAATCCTGGAAAGCAGCATTGGGAGGCAGTGAAATGGATCATGAGGTACTTAAAAGGCTCATCGGAGACATGTCTTATTTTCACAGCTGGCGGTTTAAAACTTGAAGGCTTTGTAGATGCTGATCTAGCAGGAGATGTTGATAGCAGAAAGAGTACTACAGGTTATATATACACTCTAGGAGGCACTGCTGTTTCTTGGAGTTCTACCTTGCAAAAGATAGTTGCTCTTTCAACGACAGAAGCTGAATATGTCGCAGTTTCAGAATCCGCAAAAGAGATAGTATGGCTACAGAGTTTCCTGCAAGAATTGGGCAAGATGCATGGAAAGGGTACTTTGTATAGTGACAGTCAGAGTGCAATCTTCCTTGCCAAGAATCCAGCATTTCACTCCAGAACAAAGCACATACAGATCAAATATCACTTCATCCGGCAACTACTCGACGATGAACAACTGTTACTTGAAAAGATCTGTGGAAGCAAGAATCCAGCTGACATGTTAACCAAAGGAGTCACTCTTGATAAACTGAAGCTGTGTAAAGCTTCAGTTGGACTTAAAGATTAAAAAACAGATCTAGCGCCATTTGTGTCCAAGTGGGAGATTGTTGGGTGTGGACACAACATGGTTGGTGGCAGCCATGTTAGACATGGCTAAAGTCAATGGTGGTTGCATGGTGGGTGCCTAACCAAAGAAATTGTTGCCCACCATTGTTGACTAAAGAAGAAACTTGTCTCCCACATCAGCTATAAATAGAGAGTGCCATTGATAGCTGATGAGCACCACGAGATAGAGAGAAACACAGAGAGAGAGCTAAGGGTGAGAGTTGAGTTGAGTTGAAAAGTTTTCTCCTCCTCCTTGTTTTGTTGTTTGTATTGCTTTTGAGCTTGATTAATACAAATCAGTAGCTCCGTGGAGTAGGCAAGTTGCCGAACCACGTAAATCTATGTGTGTTTGAATGTTTGGATCTCCTAACAATATCTCTCAATATCATGCTTAGCTGTAAACATGTAATCAGTTGTCAATTAAGGCATACATTTAGGTAGCTATGTTTGGAAGTTGCACGGGAATAATGCTTCTGCATGTATATATGTACTGGTTTTCTGAATCAATAGATTAGACGTTCAAGTCCAAATCCTTTCTTCTGAGCTGTATCTAGTTTAATAAAATATCCTCGCCTTTTTTCTGCAATGACCAGCAAAGATGGTGAAACGGCTACCTTGAGGAAAACTATCTCCCCTTATGACATAACTTCCAATGACAACCCTGGAAGTCTGTTGACACAAGTTCAGCTGAAGGGAGAAAATTATGATGAATGGGCTCGTGCTCTCAAGACTGCATTGTGAGCAAGGAAAAAGTTTGGCTTTGTGGACGGATCTATTAAGCGTCCAGATGAGGAATCACTGGACCTTGAAGACTGGTGGACCAACAACTCTTTACTGGTGTCCTGGATAATGAACACCATTGAACCATCATTGAGATCAACTATGTCACATATGGAGGTGGCACAAGATCTTTGGGAAGACATAAAAGAACGATTTTCCATGGTGAATGGACCACGCATACAACAACAAAGGGCTGAGCTTGCTGAATGCAAACAGAGAGGATTGACAATTGTTGCCTACTTTGGAAAGCTTAAGAAACTATGGGAAGAATTGGCAAACTTTGAACAAATGCCGATGTGCAAGTGCGGCTTGTGTACCTGCAACCTTGGAGCGGCCTTAGAAAAGAAGCGTGAGGAAGAGAAAGCTCATCAGTTCCTCATGGGACATGATGAAATAGTCTATGGGACTGTAAGATCAAATCTGTTGGCTCAAGACCCATTGCCAAATCTGAACAGACTCTACTCAACACTAGTTCAGGAAGAACGTGTCAGAATCATATCTCGTGGAAAGGAAGAGCGCGGCGAGGTGATGAGCTTTGCAGTGCAAGCAGAGTTCAAATCACGCAACAAAAACGAAGGAAAGGACAAAAATGTGGTATGCAGCCATTGTAATCGCACGGGACATGAATCTAATAGCTGTTTTCAGCTAATTGGCTATCCGGATTGGTGGGGAGATTGTGCTCGTGGGACTGGAAGAGGAAATGGACGTGGAAAGGGAGGACAGCGAGGCATGACTCCTGTTGGCAGAGGACGTGGAGGATTGGTCAAGGCCAATGCAACTCAAGTCTCCACACCAGGAACAAGCACAAACACTGCAGTCTCATATACTGATAGAAGCAATACCAATGGCCTTAGTGATGAACAATGGCAGACATTACTGAACATTCTAAACAATACCAAGATAGGGGCAAATGAGAAACTCACTGGTAAGTGTTCCTCTATACAATGGATCATTGACACGGGTGCTTCTCATCATATGACAGGAAGGCTAGGTTGCTTATCCCATGTCCGAGACATGATAGAATGTCCTGTTGGGCTTCCAAACAGGCAACAAACAGCTGCTGCAAAAGAAGGAACAGTGGTGCTGAGTGACAAGGTAAAATTGGTGGTGGGAGAAACTATTGATAGTGGTTTTAGAATACTCAGAGGAAATAAAACACATGATTTTATTACAAAAATCAAGTTTATAAATTACAAAACTCACAATTCTAATACACACCCTCTCTTTTTCTCTTATGTTTCTCTCTACTCTTTCTCACACTTAATAACATAAGATTAACAATCTATTTATACATAAATTGAGAGATAGCAGGTGGTGATGGTTAATGATAGGTGGCTGCAGGTGGTGATGGTTTAATATTAAGTGATAGCTGATGGTGGTGATTGATAGTAGATAGCTGCAGGTGATTGATTAAGTTTAGCACAATAGAAATTAGCAAATGTTTTATATATGTCAAGTTTGCAATACAATCTCATTTCGGTATCTCAGTTGATTGATGAATCTGATTGTGTAGCTCAGTTCACTAAAAAATTTATGCTATATAGGACCGCACTTCGAGGATGGTGATTGGTGCAAGTGAGCTATGAGAAGGGCTTTACTACTTGCGAGGAAAGGCAATTATGGCAACAAAACAAACTAGCAATGAGAAATCCTTCAATTTATGGCACAAGCGGCTGGGACATCCATCATCTAAGGTTTTAGAGTTGGTTCCAAATGTTGGTGCACGGTAGCATACGTAATCAGGTTTGCAATGTTTGTCTTAGAGCAAAACAAAAAAGATAAATTTCCTGCTAATAATAATAAAACTTCAGAAACTTTTCAGTTAATTCACTATGACTCATGGGGAACCTATCGAACCACTGCACTTTATGGTGCAAGATATTTTTCAACCACTGTTGATGATTATTCGTGAGCAATGTGGATATACTTGCCGCTTGACAAGAAATAAGTGTTATGTATGGATACAAAATGGTTGTTGGCAACCATGTCAAACATGGCTGCATGATAAGAGTCAAGAGTGGGTGCTTAAACAAAAAAAACGATGGCCACCATAATTGACTAAATGGAGAGGTTTGTCTCCTATTTCAGCTATAAATAGAGGATGTTATTGAAAGCTGAGATAGACAAGAAATAGAGAGAAATAGAGAGAGAGAGCTAGAGAGAAAGTTGAGTTGAGTAGAGAAGATTTTTTCTCCTCCTCCTTGTTTTGTTATTTGTATTGTTTCTAAGCAAGATTAATACAAACCAGTAGCTCCGTGGAGTAGGCAAGTTATCAAACCACGTAAATTGATGTGTGTTTGAATGCTTAAATGTCCCAACAACTGGTATTCATTCTGGGGATTGTAGCTACAGAAAATTTACATCTTGAATAATTAGATGTAAAAACAACATTTCTTCATGGTGAATTGGAGGAGGACATTTACATGCAACAACCAGAGGGGTTTGCAATACAAGGAAAGAAGAATCAAGTTTGCAAGCTAAAGAAAAGCCTATATAGTTTGAAGCAAGCTCCTAGATAGTGGTACAAGAAGTTTAACAACTTCATATGTAATTCGGGATACACAAAATGCCAAGTTGGTCACTGTTGCTATTTCAAACATTTTAACAACTCCTATATCATTCTACTGTTGTATGTGGATGATATGTTGATTGCAGGATCCAGCATGGAAGAGATTGACAAGTTGAAATAACAGTTGTCAAAACAGTTTGAAATGAAGGATCTGGGAGCTGCTAAACAAATACTTGGCATGAGAATCATCAGAGATAAAGACAAAGGCATACTAAAGCTTTCACAGATACAGTATGTCAAGAAGGTTCTCAGTAGGTTTAGTATGGATAATCCTAAACCAGTAAATACACCTCTAGGGAATTATTTCAAGCTCAACAGAGACTAGTCACCAAAAACTAAGCTAAAATATGGATATATGGATAAGATTCCATACGCCTCAGCTATAGACTCTTTGATGTATGTTATGCTCTATACCAGACCAGACATTGCCCATGCAGTGGGAGTTGTAAGCCGATATATGAGCAATCATAGAAAGCAGCATTGGGAGGTGGTGAAATGGATCATGAGGTACTTAAAAGGTTCATCGGAGATATGTCTTACCTTCACAGCTGGTGGTTTGAAACTTGAAGGTTTTGTAGATGCTGATCTAGTAGGAGATATTGATAGCAGAAAAAGTACTACAGGACATGTATACACTCTAGGAGGCACTGTTGTTTCCTGGAGTTCTACCTTCCAAAAGATCATCACTCTTTCAACAACAGAAGCTGAATATGTTGCAGTCTCAGAATCTACAAAAGAGATTGTATGCTTGCAGAGTTTCTTGAAAGAATTGGGCAAGATGAATGGAAAGGTACTTTATTTAGCGACAGCCAGAGTGCAATCTTCCTTACCAAGAATTCAGCATTTCACTCCAGAACTAAGCATATTCAGATCAAATATCACTTCATCTGACAATTGCTAGACGACGAGCAACTAATGTTAGAAAAGATCTATGGAAGCAAGAATCCAGCTGACATGTTAACCAAAGGAGTTACTCTTAATAAACTGAAGCTGTGTAAAGCTTCAGTTGGTCTCAAAAATTAAAAGACAGATCTAGTGCCATTTGTGTCTAAATGGGAGATTGTTATGTATGGACACAAAATGGTTGTTGGCAGCCATGTCAAACATGGCTGCATAGTAAGAGTCAAGAGTGGGTGCCTAAACAAAGAAAATAGTGGCCACCATAATTTACTAAATGGAGAGGTTTGTCTCTTATTTCAGCTATAAATAGAGGATGTTATTTAGAGCTGAGATAGACAAGAAATAGAGAGAAACACAAAGAGAGAGCTAGAGAGAAAGTTGAGTTGATTAGAGAATATTTTCTCTCCTCCTCCTTATTTTGTTGTTTGTATTGTTTCTAAGCAAGATTAATACAAACTAGTAGTTCCGTGGAGTAGGCAAGTTGTCGAACCATGTAAATTGATATGTGTTTAAATATTTGAATGTCCCAACAAGAAGTCTCAATGAATTTATACGATTTTATCGCTTTGATGGAATGTCAATTTAACAAACAAGTGAAAACAATGCGAAGTGACAACAATACTGAATTCACCTACCTTGGCAATTATTTTCACAATCATGGTATTATGCATAAAACTTCTTGTTCAAGAACTCCACAACAAAATGGACGTGTGAAACGCAAGCATAAGCATATACTCAATGTGGATCGTGCTCTAGGGTTCCAAGCAAATTAATCTCCCGATTGAATTTTAGGGGGAATGCATTTTGACTGCTGGATATGTGATAAATCGAACTCCATCACTCATTTTGCATGGGAAAACACCATATGGAGTTTTATATGGTAAGACGCCTCAACTCGGACATATGCGTGTGTTCGGATGTTTATGTTATGTTCATAACCAAGGACATAAAGGAGATGAATTTGTTAGCTGCAGCCGCAAATGTGTTTTCGTGGGTTATTCTTATGGCGAGTTTATGACTTGAGTTAGGAGTATTTCTAATTTCAAGAGATGTTATGTTCTGTGAGGACAAATTTCCTTATCTTACTACTAACCAGCAAAGCCCACTTTCTGCGCATACTGATTCTACCCCAGGTCCTATGATAGATTGGAATGATATAGATGACAATGAGGGACCAAGCAATGCTCCGCATAGTCACATGCATGAAAATCTTGTTCCTCATGTTGGGCAAGAAATTAGTAGGGAAAATGGGACAAATGATAATCTGGAAGGCAATGCATCAACACTCGAGCCCTCAACTGTCCTTCCCTCTGAAACAGCAGTAGTTCATGACAACAGCCATGAGACTACACATGATAAGAGGGGTTCCAGTGTTGTTGTAAATGAGGAATATTTGGGTCGAGGCCAACACACCAAGATACCTTCCACTCTTCTGCGAGAATTTGTGACACACACCATCTGTATGTTAAGCCCCTCGAAGAGTTCATCTTGCTCATCACAATCCTCAGGTACACCATACCCTATAGCTCATTATGTGAACTGTGATAACTTTTCTGCCCAATACAGACATTTCTTGGCAGTTATCACTACAGGAACTAAACCTCAAACATTTGTTGAGGCCGTGAAAGATGAACGGTGGAGACAAGCCATGAAACATGAAATACATACTTTAGAACATAATGGCACTTGGACTATAAAACCTCTTCCTCCTGGTAAGAAAGTTATCGAATGCAAATGGGTTTATCGAATTAAGTATAATTCTGATGGCTCCATTGAGAGATTCAAAGCAAGACTCGTGATCTTGGGAAATAATCAAGTTGAAGGGTTTGACTACAATGAAACATTTTCTCCTGTCACCAAAATGGTTATTGTCCGTACCTTTCTTGCTGTTGCTATTGCCAAAAACTGGGAAGTTCACCAAATGGATGTTCACAATGCTTTCTTGCATAGTGATCTTGAAGAAGAGGTGTACATGAAAATGCCCCCCGGCTTTCGATCTCCTACTTTAAACCAAGTATGTCGTCTTCAAAAGTCTTTTTATGATTTGAAACAAGCTCCTAGATGTTAGTTTGCTAAATTGGCTGGTGCTTTGAAACAATATGGGTCACGCAATCTCATTCTGATTATTCTTTGTTTACTCCGCACAAAGGTACACTACAACTCCATATACTGGTCTATCTTGATGATCTAATTATTTTAGGAAATAATAGTGCTTCCATTCACACCTTCAAATATTACTTAAGCACCTGCTTCCATACGAAGGATCTTGGTACTTTGAAATTGTCACGACCCGAATCCTGGATCCATGACCGGCACATAGGCAAGGTTCCCCTCCAAGGTTCCATACCTATGCGAACCCAAACTTACACACAAACTTATCCTAACTCAATCAAAGTTCAACGCAACATTAATAACAAAATCAACTTCATAATATAATTGAATTGTCTTAATACAAGAGTTAATATAATTTCATAGTTTTGGAGCACTAATTAGGCATAAAGGAAAATGTACGAATTACAACCAAAAGAGCAGGTTTTGAAGGTCCAACAAAAGTGACCTACTATCAAGCTATAAGCCTGAAAATGATAAATAGTGAGAGTGTGAGTTCAACAACTCAGTGAGTAGATAACGTTCAATATACACACACGAGATAATATAACAATGAGAAATATATATACAAGTATAGCTTTAGGTACTTATAAAAAGGTTTCTCAAATAGGCCATAACAAGAATATCATATGGTAAAATTCATCAGAAAATCAAAATACAATGAGCATGGGGCTCCGTACTATGGGATGATCAGTCCACACAGGTTGGTGACTCCCCCGACCAACTAGAGTTCAGATACGATGTGCACAAAGACTAACACTACCCTGTTAGCATGGGTATTCTGACTGACATACCATAGGGTCATAATCATAATCAAACAGACATATTAATATCTCAAAGCTCAACTCATGACATTAATCAAATAAGGAGCTATCAATTCAGAAGTCAATTCAAAATAAATATTGGTTCATAACAAGAATTCGGATTCAACAAATGATCATGCTTATCATAACAAGGATAATAGTCAACATATATATTATCAAGAAGCATGATCCAATTCATATTAACAAATCAAATATTTATAATATTTCTCTTGCATATGGAAAATTATCCATTCACCTGACTCGAAGCAAACAAAAGTCAAAAGCAAACACAGGAGAAAATCCTACTAACATCCCGCCGGTAGAATATCAGGATTATCTGAATATAAAGGAAACATATTCAAGAATGACTCAAAAGAACATATATCCTATTCAATACACTTAACTAAGGGTCTATTCCATAACCCTATATGTTTTTAGACTAAACTAGTTATTTTACTAAAAACCCAAAAATTAACGGTTTTTCCGAAATCTAATCCATAATAAAACAAATAACAAAATTGGTAATAATTCACTAAATAACCCTAATTTCTTCATCAAACCAATCTGGAAAGGCTAACATCACAGCTAGGGACTAATATGGAATTTATCACATTTTTAGGGCCAAATTATAATTTTCGTCTAATTGGAGGACCAAACTAAACATATCATAAATTCATGACTATAGTGGAATTATGTCCATAATTCATCCTCATTTCTGTTCAGAACCTCTAATTATGCTCCAGGGACCATTCCAGAATTTTTCCCAAAATTTTAGGGTCAAATTGTAATTTTTGTCAAATGGAGGACCAAACTAAAATTTATCATAAATCCATGAATATACTGAAATTATGACCGTAATTAATCCTCAAATCTGTCCATAATATCTCATTATACTGCAGGGACCATTCTGGAATTTTACCAAATTTTTCGGGTCAAATGGTAATTTTTGTCAAATTGGAGGACCAAATTGAAAGTTTTAAAATTTCATAACTATACAGTAATTCTACCCATAATTCATATGTTATTCTTTTCAGAATCTCAGTATATGCTCCAGGGATCATTCTGTAATTTTCCAAAGTTTGGGGACTAAACTATAATTTTCCAAAATTGAGGGACCAAAATCAATTTTCATCATCTTCAACCTCCAAACCAGAATTTCAATAGAAACCCACTGTTCTTTCCTTATTTCTAACATAAATTCACCATTCAAACAAAATCCATAACTCAAAATCATCATTTTCATCTACAATCTCTCAAATTCAACTTAACAATCAATGAACCACAACAATCAACCCCTAATATTTAATTTAATTCATCAGTTAAACTCACAACACAAATTTCATAACCCTAACATTTATCAAAACTAAAATTAAAGCTTAATTAACACATATTTATACATAATCTTACCTTTTTACTTATTTCTTCCAACTCCTTTCTATTCCCTTTCTAATTTCTCTATTTTCTCTTCTTCTTCTCTCCCTTCTCTCTCCTGCCGATTCTCTCTCAAATTTCAGATCTCTTCTTTTGTTTTTTTTTTACTTTCTATTTATATTTATTAAATTTTGTTGAATTACTACACTACCCCTTATTCATTTATACTCACACTGTAAGCCACCAAGAGCTTTATTGTATTTTCCTATTCATTTATTCAAAACATCACAGAAATATTTTTTGGGCATTGAAGTTGCTCGCAACTCTACTGGTCTTTTCCTTTCGTCAAAGGAAATATGCTCTTGACATCATTTCTGAAGTTGGCATGCTAGGCGTTAAACCTGTTGCTTTTCCTCTAGATCAAAACCATCATCTTCCATTAGCTGATGGACCACTTCTTTTAGACCCCGACCAATATCGTGGATTAGTGGGATGTTTAATTTATTTATCGGTTACAAGACCAGAGCTTTCCTATTATGTGCATATGCTTGCACAATTCATGCAACATCCACGTCATGAACATGTTGTCTGGTACCTGAAAGGTAATCCAGGCCAAGGAATTATACTCCGTGCTGACTGTGATCTCTAGCTCTATGCTTGGTGTGACTCTGATTGGGCAAGCTGCCTTTTAACCAGACGCTCCATTACAGGTTGGTTTGTACTTCTTGGTAATTCACCTATCTTTTGGAAAATGAAGAAACAACATTGTATCTCGCTCTTCAGCTAAAGCTGAGTATCGATCCATGGCTGCCACCACTTGTGAATTAATATGGCTAAAAGCTTTGCTTTTGTCTCTCAGATTTGCTCATCCACATCCTATGAAACTCCATTGTGATAATCAAGCAGCACTTCACATTGCTGCCAATCCAGTTTTTTATTAGCATACAAAATATATTAAAATTAATTGTTATTTTATCCGCAATGCAATTCTCATAGGCAACATCACTACCAAGTACGTGCCCACTCATGCTCAACTGGCGGACATCTTCACCAAGGCATTGGGCTAAAAGCAGTTTGAATGCTTTCTTGGCAAGTTGGGCATTCAAAATCTGTATGCTCCAACTTGAGGGAGGGTATTAGACGAATATCTCTGAAATCATGTTAGCGCCTAGTATGTTGCCTTATTCTATCATATCTCTTAATATCATGCTTAGCTGTAAACGGGTAATCAGTTGTCAATTAAGGCATATATTTAGGTAGCTATGTTTGGAAGTTGCATAGGAATAGTGCTTCTCCATATATATATATACATATTGGTTTTCTAAATCAATAGATTAGACCTTCCAGTCCAAATCCTTTCTTCTCATATTCCATCAATTAACACAGTTCATATTTCCTCTTCGAAATATGAAAAAACATGAATGGTGCAGTAAAGTTATTTTTATAAGGTTACACAGTGAAGGGTTTGATGTAAGTTATTTTGTGTTTATCTCAATTAAAAGCACCTTGTAATTTAAGATTAGAGTTCTAACTAAAATAGTTTAAACTCTGAATTTAATGTTGAATCTACTTATATAATTTTAAATTTATATTACAGAGTTGCGTGAGTGTTAATATAATGAAATTCATTTTCACATAAATAATAATTTAATTAAAAAATAATTAAATAATTAAAACAACTTAAATATAAAATAAATTCAATAATTTAGAAAATAAATGCTTACATTTATAGAGTAATTTATATTTTGATTACATCCAGACTCCTAGATAATAAAACATTCTTTTGGTATTATTGGCTTATAAAATTAAAACTATGATTATGATTACAAAAAAAAAACTACAAAGCTACTTGATTAACACCTATAAAATTACTTCTTACAAGCCATTACCTATTGGTTATAAGCTTTCAATTACAAGTCTACTTGATAAATAAGTTTTGAAGATGCTGTGAACTTGATTAAATTGCAATATAGTTGCTTTGTGGAGTTTTTCAGTTGTGTTGCTCCTTGATTATCTTGCCTCGTAATTTAAATAAAAAAGTTTAAGATAAGTTTCAATAATTACCCACTCATTTTATTCAAAATAACTTTAGATAATTATCCACTCACTCTATTCAAAGCAATTACCAACTAATTTTTTATTTTAAAAATCTTATATCATATAGATTTTTTATACCTTTCCACATTAGGTCATTTTATCAAGTATGGTTTTGACATCCTTACTCAATTTTAGTGTATAACGTGTATCGTTACAGGTTATGCAGTGAAGGTAAATGCAGTTAATTATTAGTCAAAACTCATAAATTGAAGTCGATTTCTTGCTGCGAAGCTCCTGGCTCCTGGTAATTGTTTTTTACTAGTCTTTTTTTTCCAAGTTAATTAGAATCAATTAAATTAATCTTCGCGTGGTTGTTGGCCCTGCATGCAGGTACAGTAATTTTAGCTAGAAGGTTGGTTTGAAGAATCAAGATGAATGATTACATTACTGCAAGGTTAAGTCGCAGGAGCTATCGTTTTAATCATTCTGGCTTTCTTTATCCAGTCGCTTTTTTCTGGCCGTAAGGGGAGGCAGTAAGCAGAAGCAGAAGCAGCCTGACTGCAAGCATGGAGCCAAAACTCGAATGAGAGTCGGGGGACACGTTGCAGGTGGAGATGATAAGGTTAGTTGCAGAGTTATTTTTGTAGGCCAGGAAAGCAGCTAGTCCATATCAGCTTAACTTTATTGGTAAAGTTGAGAATGACCTTTAGCAATTTATCCCAAAGAACAATTATCTTAGACAATCCCG